TATATATATATTATCAGCAGGGTCTGGTTTGAGAGTGCTCGCGCATGCTCGCGCTCACTATATTATAATGTTATGAACAGATCGCCCGACCTTTTGAAATGTTTTTGTTTGGTCACTTGCTTCCTCTTGTTTCACCAATGGAGGACACCTAGTAGCGATACTAGTAGCGATGCCCGGCCTCTAAGGAGCGGCCTCCAAGCCAGTCCCGTGCTGGGTGAAGCGTTGAACAGCTTAGCCTCGACGACACGGAGCTGCGAGTCGGCGGGGTGGCCATGTGGGTGGGCGGTGGGTTAGGGAGATGATGGGTTTGTGTCCAAGAGAGGTTGTTTTCTAGTCAAGTTGGCTTCTTCATGGTCATGTATAATCTGTATGTTTTTGTTGTATGACAACTGAATGGATCACAGTAGTTGGACAATCAGTTCGGCCCAAGTCTGAAGATTTGTCGTTGCTCTTTTTGAGGCGAGTCAAGAATGACCATTATCCAAACAGGTTAATTATTTGCAGGTGTCAAGCAAGTGGCATGCTATGTGTGATGTCTTGTGTTTGTGTTTTGCACTGCACAGGGCACAATCAGGTGGGTAGAATTGACCAACACCTGTCTGACCCGTTGCATGTCACCTTCCGTGCGTTCATCACGGGTCACAGTGGGACGCCCTGCGTTTGGTCAGGCTGTTTGTTTTTTTGAAGTGAAACCATCACCAATCCTCGGCGGAAAGCTGAGAAGCAGATTTCTTTGCATTGTATGTGTGCCCAATTGCTGTTTCTCTAATGTTAACTGTTCAATCATGTTCAATCTATCATGATCTTTTGCTTGAACAGGCCAAGTTTGGGTCCGACGCTCCTCAAAAGAGCGGGATTTCCAAGCGGAACATGTGCCATGCTTCAACTAGCAAGATGGTCAAGCCACAAACCAAATGCACTCTTTCACCAAGCAGTTTCGAGCTTTAAGGTCTTCTTCAACCTCCGAGCCCTTGTGGCCAATGCGTTCTTTCAGAAACGACATGTGCAGTGATGGAGTCCCAAAGAAGTATAGACTTCAGCCAAAACTGCTATGATCATCCATATCGGACATCCCAACCACTTCCCGAGGCCGTCGCAGGCCACAACGGCGACCTCACTGTGCTCTGCAGCGGAGGCACCGCTCGGGCGCGGAGGAGGCAGAAGCGTCCCCGCGTCCAAAAAAGCAGACTGGTGAAGAAGCGGGCAGTGCAGTTTTACGGTCGTTGGTAGGAGATCGTGTAGTCGAATCCACCTGCAGGGGTGGCTGCGCATGGGGGACATGTGTGTCCGTGCTGTGTTCCGCGAACACTCTCATGGGTTTGCACATGCGGCGCCTTGAAGAACATGTTGGCCATGAGAAGTGAACAGTGCACTTTGTCACTCCAGAGGCGTGCTGGTGGCCGATCAGAGTGGCTGCAGCCCGTCGGGAGCGCACAGAAAAGAATACCTTGCAGCGGGAATACCTTGCGGTGAAGCCGTATTTGTTTTGAAGGGGCAACATGGCTTTGTTTCACTTGTTTGTTGCCTTTTTTGTGATCCCCCCTCAGGTCCCGTCATTACAGAAGAACGTGAGGACTGTGTGCACATGTTCTGTACGTTCGCTTGTGAAAGTGGGTGCAACGAGGGCCTGGGCGTTTTCCGTCTTCCAAACCACATCTACCACACCACCCGCACCACTCGGGTCCTTGCAAATATGTGTGAGACTTCGTGCCAGTTAAGGCGTGGATGCTCAGCCATCACCCCGGCTGTGCAGGCGTCATGCGGAAAATAAGATGGAACCATCTACTAGACTTTCTTGTGTGGTTGGAGGCCATCGCTAGTAGGTTGGAGGCCGTGTGATCAATTGTTTGCAGTTTTTGTTTGCTGAGTGATAGGAGTGGCCGTGGTCGTTGTTGCGTTTGTTGTTGACTGTAGAGTCAAGAAACCAGATTATCTTGATCTTGGGTCACTGATCAACATGTTCTATACTCATGTAGACTCCAGAACCATGTCGCCTTTGACACGGCTCTCACTGCATGTCGCAATTGAAACGATATGAAACGATCATTCCATCGTGCATGTCCGAAGGGAAATCCTGCATGTAGCTGATCAAAACCTGTTTTAGGTCGATGTCAACATTTTTCGAAAACTTGTGAAAACAGCTGCATTCTTTGCTTTCGTCTTCGCCTGGCCAACTGGGCGAGTCTCGTCTGCCTTTGAACAGTCATCGATGGTATTTTGTCCGGGCGATCGAGGCAATCGCTTCCATCGCTTGGGGCAACCAACAGACACAAAGCATAAAACTCTGAACTCACAGTCCAGACCTTCATTGACAAATAGATCCAAGAAAAGATGTAGAAAGATGTAGAAACATCATAGAAACCCCTAATTTTTCTGCGATCTCAAACCCTTTGATGTTAAGATCGCTAGCACTAATCGCTGGTCTCCTCACTCGATCGGTCAGGTGGTCGTGGGCGGCTCCACACGGGAATTCTCCACCAGCAAGGCTGGGCCGTGACCTGCGCGGCAGCTGCGAGCTGCGGCCGTTGTTTGGGAAAGAGGAGGTATATGGGAAGCCAACCGATGCCAACGGATGTATGTTAGGGGTAGTAATTGTTTTGGGGCTTCTACTGTTGCAGTTAAACCATGGTACACCCAGGGTTGCTGAACCATTGACGGAGTTCTAGAAGGGTCAAAGATGTTTCCAACTGGAAATGTCTCTAGCAGGCCTGCCAACCACTACTTTCAGATAGCCCACTTTCAGTCCCACTTTCAAATTGCTGATGAGTCGCTGTTGGTGGGAATATGCCAGCAATACTGATCTGTACGGAATATACCAGATCTGTGCAGCTCCCAGGTGAACAGAGGGGTGAACATCCATCAATGGGAATGCTCAGGGTCAACATTGGCATAGCAAGGTGGGTGGCATAGCAAGCATCTCGACGACTTCAGATGTCTCGTATGTGGGACGGGCACAGGCGATGGCACATGGCGAGCAGTTCACGGCAGAATCCTGTTCCAACATCGACAGTGGCTACGAGGGCGTTCGCAGCACCCAGAAAAAAACCTGGTTCGCACGGAGTGAGCGCGGAGTGAAGCTGCGAACCGAAACTGGTCGGGTGTATTGTGTCAAGTTCTGATGTCAATAGTGGGGAAGCTTTCCAGAAAATTCAATGGTTACTAGTAGCAAAGGGCATCGCTACTAGGAGCAAGGACGCTACTAGTAGCTCACCTGGCCCTACTACTAGGAACAAGAAGCTATATACAGGGCGCTACTAGTAAAGGTTATTAAAGGTTTAAGGGATCTACGTGTCGATGCAACGAATTTTTGCCGAAGTCTTCCAGCGCACTATCCAACCCTTGAAACGTGTTTTCTAGCTCGCTCGCCTACTTAATTAAGTGAGGGAGAGGGTAGCTAGTACCTACAAGTAAGCTACTGGTATGGATGCAGGACAGCTAACACTAGTGAATTGTTTTCTAGACTTTTAGGGAAACTCACCATTTCATGATAGCCAACTTTTGAAATTGATAGGCAAGGTGAGCTGTTGATCTCCTGAGATGATGGTAGACATTGTTAGACACAAGGGAAACACCCGCTTTACCGTAGGATAACACCGTAGGATACCTAAGAGTGATGGCCTCCAGCCTACTAGCGATGGCCTCCAACCTAAGAGCGATGGCCGCCTATACCTACTAACGTTGGCCTCCAACCTACTAGCGATGGCCTCCAACCTAAGAGCGATGGCCGCCTATACCTACTAACGATGGCCTCCAACCTACTAGCGATGGCCTCTAACCTACTAGCGATGGCCTCCAACCTACTAGCGATGGCCTCCAACCTACGAGCGATGGCCTCCAACCTACTAACGATGGCCTCCACCCTACTAGCGATGGCCTCCAACCTAATAGCGATGGCCTCAAACCTACTAGCGATGGCCTCCAGCCTAAGAGCGATGGCCTCCAACTACTAGCGATGGCCTCCAACCTAAGAGGTGTCCTTTAAGATGTTGTTCATGAGGTCATGAATCTCTACTTGCACGGTACTTCTGGAAGCCATAGTGCACACGCAACAAGCAGAAACGCCACAGAAGTACCCGGCTCAGCTCAGACCGAGGTGCTCAATGTGACTTGCCATTTAGGTAGCCTCGTGGCCAACAGCTGCACGCTGGGCACCCAGATGATCAGGACGATGTTGCCGCGGTGACTGGTTAGGAAGTCTTCACCGACAATCTATGACAATCTGAAGTCAGTCTGAAGTCTGTCGACAATCCGAACGAGTGGAACATCAATTGCAGCTATCCCGGTCGATGCTGGCGATTGAAGCCATGTCAACCGATGTGGACTTCCGCTCCGACCGTTCGACCGATCACCTTCGACCGTCCAGGACTCGGAACAGTGTGGGGTATCGGAACTGAGGCCCAAACCTTGCCAAGACACCATGAAGTATGTCACCCATGCAGGTGCGGAGACCCGATGCCGTCTCCGCCGTGCAACTGCTGTCATGTGGTCGATGTGTTTTTCAGGTTCGGAGGATGATCTTGAGGTGTGAAGTCTTGCTCGGCATGGCTAGTGGATAGATGTGGATAGGAGGGAGTATGCTTCATAGCTTGGAGTGAAGGTATGCATCATAGCTTGTAAGTTTTTTTGCTCCAGGTCCCAAAGGCATCGCTAGTAGCTTGGAGGCCATGTCTAGTATAGGTTGGAGACCATCGCTCGTCCAGTCTTCAGCCTGCAAGGCCTCAATCTGGTGGCACGGCTCAATGCAGCATCTTTAGGCGCTGCGTGCTCCGGTGCGTGGACTGCGCTGCGAGGACGACATGCGGGGAAACTGTTTCGTCCAGCTGTGGCACAGATCCAACTGGACGAGAAACACCTGGAACCAAGATCCAACTGGCAAGGTGAGAAGTTGACGATCTTCGACCTTTCACGGTGAGCCTTAGAAATGTTTGAAGAGACAAGAACATGAACACCTGGCGATGGCCTCCACCCTAATGGAGACGGCCTCCACGTCTTCCCATGGACTTCGCAAGATTTCAGCTGAGCCGAGTTCGGGTGCAGCCTGAGAAACTACTAGAAGCAAGGGCATCGCTACTAGCTACTGCTATATAGCATTACTACTTGGAACAAGGACGCCACTAGGACGCTACCTGGTGCAGCCGACTTCGCCGAACGATCAGGCACCACCTCACCGGCGCCCAGTGGCTTTGAGGCGCCTGATCGACCAGCTCGCGACTGCGCATCACATCGCGTTACTGCGCATCGTCCGATCGCTCCGTTCGTAGCGATGCCCTTTGCTCCGGTCATAGCGTCCTCTTGTTCCTAGTAGTAAGGCCAGGAGCTACTAGTAGCGTCCTTGCTCCTATGGGCTGGTTGGGCGGTTTGGTGATTGTTTTTGATTTGGCAGATGCTGGACAGTGGGGCTCTTCTCAATTCTTTTGTGAATGGCCTTCTTCAGGGTGATACGAGGTGATACCAGGGATGTCTTGCGGGGGAGTAACCAGCGGTCGTGAAGACAACGTTAGCTTACGCTGGTTCTTCATGAGGCCACTGGCAGCTGTGGCATCTTTGATGAACTGCTGATTGGCACGTTCGGGGCCCAGGAGTCTCTGAGAGATCAGCTCCCAGAGATGGAATCTTCTATGGAAAACAGTGCCTCCGTATGTGTTGCTGCACGTCCTTTTGTTCCGGCACAGAGAGTCCGTCAGATGGGGGGAAGCCATCGTTCGGTCACCTCTGCCTCCTTCGGTCACGGCGGAACCGTCCCCGTTCCGACGCCGCGGGGCCAACGGAGGAGAGACGAGGTGGTTCGGGTCCAACGAGTGCCGAGGTTTAGCGTCTCCTGTTTGGCAGGAGCTGGGAGACTCAGCTGTGCTGGCGCAAAGGGCCACCTGTTCAGAGTTCTTTTTCCGATGGTCGACGCAGGTGGGTTCAAAGATCCTGCTAAGTAATCATACATGGACCACCATGGACCAACTTTCATTCTGTGCATTTCATACTTTGGAAGTGGAGTCGCTGTGTGTGACACTTGTACGGAAAGACCGGTCGTCAGGTTTTCGGTTTTTGCGGCCCGAAAACACGATGCGCGACCCCGTACGGAAGTAGCTGGCATACAATTTACATACCAAGTAGAGTCTTTAGGACCTCCATGGCTGCCATATGGGGAGTTGTAGAAGATTCCTTTGCACCCAGTCATTTCGATGCCTCAAAAAAACTGAACCCACTTCTACACAGCTTAGCATAGCGGCTGCTCCAACTGAGACCTATGGCTTGGATTTGGGCAACTGCTACCTGAACAGCTGTGAGCTGCCCAGTGCTGCCATGGTGCATTTAGGCACCCAGCAGCAGGCGGCATTGGGGGATCTATGTCAGCGGTGGATTGGATGTTCATCTCGAGGTGTTCAGCAAGGCATCAGAAAGGGTGAAGCTTGCAGGCCATCTCTATTGGGGTGGAGGCCATCGCTAGTAGGTTGGAGGAGGCCGTCGCTAGAAGTTCTCAGCTTGAAGCTGTCTTGCAGCGGAGTATCGGGAAAAGTTCCAGTGTTTGTTTGGACAAGTCAATGGCTTTTGGAAGATTCCACTGTTTGTCAACACAAGCGCCGCCACCTTAAAGCTCCTATTCGCTTGAACCGTCGTTTGATTCAGTTTGCTTGGCCACAACAAGCTGGGTGGTGTTCTGGTCACTTCAAAGCCTTGCTGTGTACTCCAGGTGGTCAGTTTGCAGACCAAGAATCCCGAAGGAGGCCAGGAGAGCTTCGACTGTTCCACAGTGAGTGCGAAGCCCAGTATTACTCCCTCGAGTTGTTTTTTTGTGCACGAGAATCGGGTAGTACAAGGCCATGGAAATCAGATGTGATGTGGTCCCATGGTGTTGTTCGTGTTCTGTTTCCTCCTGGCGAATGGATGGTGTTTGCTTTCACGGATGGCTCAAACAGCGACTGCAGGGATGTTGCAAAATGGGGTAATTCCAATATGGGCACTAGCGCAAACCAGATATAGGAGGAACCTCTTCAAATTCAACCTTGGGCACACATATAGCATAATTAATACATCCAATGTACCAAACGAGGCACATTCAGAGAGCCCACCAGAGAGATGAACATGAATGTATGTTCTACCGGCAGGCCCTGTAATCACGCACGGCAGGTGGTTTGAAGAGAACTCTTCCTTCAATAGGGGATATGGGGCCATGTTCGATGTTGTGTCAAGTATCTTCCACGGTCAGCACAGCCTTCCCACCGCTTGGATAGCTAAGGTGCTGACTACAGCGGCCAGGGTCAACTGGTTTGTATCGGGGGCCGGCTGTGCGCCGATCCAACTGTCGCATTAGCTGTGACATGACACCCAATAGAGAAGCGCAGAGAGAAGGCTCATATTGGGGAAGTGGTTTCCATTCATGTTCCAGTTGGTTCCATTGATCGACTTCTAAGCCTATCTGACGGACTTTCCCAGAGCTCACAGGTACAGCAGCGTGGCTGGCTGCAGCGCTTCCGGCGGAAGCTCCGCTTGCAGTGCCGATGCACGTGCGGAGACCGATGCACGTGCGGGTGGTCGTGTGGGGACCCTTCGCCGTGTACATTCAACGGGGCATTCAAAAGGGCATTCAAGGCTTGCTAAGGCTTGCGATGGCCTCCACCCTAGTAGCGATGGCCTCCAACGCCTCCACCCTAGTAGCGAGGCTTGCTAAGGCTCAACTCTTGGGACTCCTATCATCTCCCATCTCTCAAAAGAGCCGCGCAGGTGGTACATGGATTTGGAGATTTGCGGAGGATGAGTTTTACAGTTGGTGATGTGGGGCTTGGGGGTTCCACATCGCTTCGATTCCTCCTGTCGGGCAGTTCACGGAGAGATGATCCTGCTCGATTTGAGTGAAGAACATGACTTCAAAGCCTTTTCAACACGTTCTTCTAATTGATATGGTCGATCCTCATTGAAATTCGGGTACGATACGACCGTTGAGACCTTGCTTGGACCATCAGAGCTCTGGATCCTGAGGTGCTGCAACGCAGAAGGATGGTGTTTGGACGGTGGGGCATGGCCGTGTTTCGTGCGCTCTTTGCTTCCGCTGTTTCGTGGGGTTTCGTGGGCGCAGGAAGACGACCTAAGACCTTTCCGTCTTCCAACATGCTTCCAGTGGGAATCTGGTCGTTCACTAGGATGTGTTGCATAGAATTAATCGAACAGACACGGTTCACATCAAGGCATCAAGGCATCCCGGACCACAAATAGGAATCCTCCCCGAAAAAGTGTTGCACACACTGAAGAGCACCGATGTGCTCGTTCACCGGAAATTCAGAAGCAATCAGCTGTGGTTTTGGGGATTGGCGATGGGAAACTGGTGGTATCAAGGGGTCAAGACTCACCAGGCTGCCAAGCCATTCTTTTTGTGTCAAGGGCTTGTGTTGAACATGTTTGAACTTCATGTTGTTTACATTTTGTTTCATGAAACGGAGGAGCACTCTGATGCTTTCTTCGACAACCCTCCAAACAGCTTGATCATCTATGTCCAGGAGGGCCACTGTTCTTAAGAGCTTCGTCCCCGGCCCAACGACGAAGCTTTTGGCCAGTCGATACGCGCCAGGTCTATCATCCCTCTGGCGAATTGCAAGATGGCCAGTCCGAGGTGGTACCATGCCAGGCGGCTCTCGAAATCTGTCGCAAAGGCTCCTTCTCGTGGCGAGAGGGTTCTTTTGGATCACTCACTGAGTGTTTGGGATATGGAGTTTTCTTAGCAAAACCCTCAACCAAGGGGTTTTTGGCCTTTGAAGTTTCACACACGATTGTCTCAACCAAGGGGTTCTGGTCTATTTCTCGTCTTCCAAAGGGGTCGAACTGGGAGGTCTCCCTATTTTAATACATGCAGCTGTATGACCCCAAAACCCGGAGACGTCCCTGTTCATGAATGGAGGCAGACAGCCCCTGTTCCATTGGTTTGTGCGCAACGCTGGGCCAGAGCAGCTGCTCACAATGTTGTGCTTGACCCAGATATAGAATCTGTCTCATGTACGCTCTGTACGCATCGGCCGAGCGGCCGAAAGAGGCTTTCGCGCTTTCGAAAGATCCAGCGAACCGCGTGCCGGTTTTTCGGTCCACTTCGGTGAACCGACTCCACAGGTCTCTAATAGCGTGGCACTTGTTTCTAATAGCTTTTTGTTACTACTAGTAAGGCACTTGTTACTACTAGCGTGGCACTTGTTACTGGTTGATAACTCCACAGGAAGATTCGGAAAGTGAAGGACAAGACGACCTGGGAAGGCACCCAATGATGTCAATCCACGCTCTTGTCGCAACTTCGAGTGTTAATGAGAGATTCGAAATGATTCCTCCTTTTCGACATATTATAAATAGAATAGAGAACCTCGAATCGACTCTCCAACCAATGGGTCTTGCTCTAGTCATATCGCAATCTACACCCGTACCGCCAATGTGTCACTCGCTCATGTTCGCCAGAACATGACCGGTTTCCTTGGAGACGCAGTGGCCAGCTGTACTCAGGGCATTTTCCGTCCGGAGCTCAAGGCAGTTTCCAAAGATGCGGGAATTGGTCAATCCACAAGCACCAACGAAGGCGCTGCGCGTACCAAATCCCTCCAAAGCGCCGCATTCTGCGACTCGAACCGGCTGAAGTCCCTGGAACTCCATGGAATCCATGGTCCTTTGAAGAAAACAACGTCCGTCAGACTCAGAAATCATGTGGGACCTCAGGTCGTCCTAGTGGTCTTCCTATCTCTCGGGGGTCATACCCGATGCCGGAGTCACTGGAAGGATGCCGGCGGGAGGTCGCCGTGAAGAAACGGAGGCGTTCGTCTACGCCTTCCAAGTTTCAAGACCGATGGTCGTTCGCCAAGAGAACATGGTATAGGGCCATATATTAGACGATGCCATATATAGGCTCCTGGCATCGCGACGAACGGAGCGAGGTTTCACGCTACGAACGCGAAGCTGGCCGTACCTCCGTTCGGTACGACCGACGCCTTCGGGTCTTTCACTCGGTTCTCCACCCGAAGCCAGCGCTGGCGGCGGATTCGGCTTCGACCCCCGTTCACCAGTTCCAAAGGTGGCTTCGGAGGTCGCCCCTTGGGGTGACGACGTGCGATCGTTGAGGTGTGGATGTCAACAACTGCCAGTTGGGGTGCTCGAAACGAGACTTCCGCGAGCTACGGGGTCTGTCCGAGCGAAACGAAGTTTTTTGTTCTCCCAAAGAACCAGTGTTTCGTGGTGCAAGAGACTGACTATGATTCATATAGTTAATATTAATATATTATATACTGTAGATGATTCGACTTATATAGTTGTTCCTGCATTCCATCTGACATTTCTTCTGATATGTTTTGATGTTCCTTCATTGCTGTGACCTTTTGCAAGCTGGTTTCCTTTGTTGCTCTGTGTCATCCTAAATGGAGGTGAGTGACAGGGTGTTCTTCCGACGCTCTAAAACGCTTTGCCATGTCGCTCGTTCAAAACTTTTAACCAACACAAGCATGTGCATCACTGTTCTTGCATTGGTGGGAAGCACCCCACATAGCCAAACCTAACTGTTTGGAATGCAATCCCTTTAATGGGTCTCGGAAGACCTTCATTTGTTTCAGGAGGATTCTCAAGAAATGGACAAAAGAGAAGAACTTGAGAACACAACCGGGCACTAGGTTGGAGGCCATCGCAGGCCAAGACGCTTCCTGTGTCCAAGACAAGTCACTTCTGAAATCAAATGCTTCTCATCTCAACCCTCTGAAGTAGATTCCTTTGCTAGTAATTGCAAGTGCCACGCTACTAGTAACAGGTGCCTTGCTAGTAGTAACAAGAAGCTACTAGTAACAAGTGCCACGCTACTAGTA